GTGGAGAGAGAAAAGAGACAATCTATATAACTAAACTGATTTTCAATGAACAAACTCTCCAATCACTTTATGGTACTTGTGAGCGAAAATGGCCGCGAGCAATACCGCTTTAAGCAATCTGTATACATATGTATATAATTGTCAATTGCCAAGTGTCAACTGTCATTGTAATTTATAATTTGGGAAATAAGTGAATATAATTCCTGATTCCCCTACGAAACAAAGAAAAATGCCCAAATTAAAACTCAAGGAAAAATCGAAAAAGCTTCAATTTATCCTCGAGTTTGTTTTCATTTGGGGGTGGATGTGGGTATTTTTCTTTATTTCGTAGGGGGAATTGGGAATTATAATCACTTATTTCCCAAATTATAAATTTTAGTTTTCGGATCTAAACCGATTTGTTTTTCGTTCATTTATGTCGTAATGCCTAATCAATTTTTCTATCTCTTTTTTCCCTCTCACACACACACACACACACACACACACACACACGCATCTGTAATATCTCTTATTGTCTAGTTTTTAAGAAGTTTTACTTCTCTCACGTGTACGGTAAGGCACGCGATTTTTTTTTTATAATTTGTTTCTGTAATATACCTATATATTAGATATTATGACTTCCACTACCAAATTTAATAAGATTTTTAAAAGTTACAAATTTTCAATAATCTGAAAGAAAATAAATGTCAAACATTCAAGATTAGAAATCACGTATTTAACAAGTAAGGCACTAAGGTAGTCACTAGTGACTAATAGTGAATTAACTCACCAGATCATGGTGGACATAGGGTTATATATTCATGGGTCTAAGTGGAATATTTTCACACCATACTAGTGTCCCCCTCGATATTCAATTTAACATTTAACCGAATCTAACCAGTTCTGAAATGCTCACTAGGTCCATTACCAGGTCCATTTTAAGTGGAATATCTTGTATTCAGTTTTCTTTATAAGGACACTATATTTAATAAGTAAGCGTAGGGTGGGGTGGGCATTTCTAATCGGGGTCTAGGACGCATCATAGCAGAAAATACGAGTTTTTTGAGATAATATTAGGATTGTTTTTGAGATTATATTTTATTCTTATTTAAGGTTATACAACAATTTTTTAATTAATTTCATTAATTACCATGGAAAATACTATTTCTACATTATTTATTGAAAATTTAAATTTTCATCACTTGCGCGTATAACTATTTCGAGAACTATTTATTTAGAAAATTTGTTCTAGCATGGCTAATGATAACATTAAGTCACTTATTTCGAAAATAAGACTTCAACCGGAACTCAAAGAATTTTCTATTCCAAAATATCTCATAGATCTACTAAGTTTTAATGGGTATGACAATATATATTCATTGGCAGCATTAAAACAACCCGACGTAGATAAATTAGAAAAGTTTGCATGTACGGAACTTTCTGATTTATTAGAAGAGAATGAAAAAAAAATGTTTTTGGAATTTATTTTAAAACGCCTTCAAAATTTAAAAGTTTGGATGGACACATAAAACTTCTTCAAATGTTTTCCATAGAATGTCAAAAACTGATATGCTCTGGCATGAGAGTTGACAAAAACACCCAAACAGAAGAAACAAATCAAACACCATTAGAATTAAGTCAAAGGAAAAGAAAATTTGTAGATGATAATCTTGAAAAAAATTCGGAGGAACAAAAGAAAAAAAGTAAAACTGTAGAGAATGAGGATGCAATTAAAGAGCATATTATTAACAATATTAAAAATTACGTACATACATTTTTAGCTAGCAAAATTTTTAGGAAATGTTATTACCTAAGGTTTTTAATAAAGTTAACATTAAACTAAATCTAAAAAGGTAGCTCGACAGTTACCTAGCAGTACTTATCTTGACATTACCACGCATTACTTGGAATCATCTAATATTATTTGGTATTATCTAGTATTACTTTGGAATTACCAGGTATTACTTCGGAATTTGTGGTATTACCTGGTATTACTTTGGTATTACCTGGTATTACTTTGGTATTACCTGGTATTACTTTGGAATTACCTGGTATTACTTGGTATTACTTTGGTATTACCTGGTATTACAGAGAATTACTCGGAATTATTGAAGTAATTCCACAATTTGGCAATACATGTACGTTTTCTAGCAGAGTGAAAGACCCCTCGATATTTGGGTTTAAAAATTGATAGAAAATTAAAATTTAAATCTCATGCTAATTATATTATAAAAACAATATCTTTTAAAATAAATTATCAATACAGATGTAGTAAGCACCTGAAGCAGTGGACCAAAAACATAATTTACAACACTTTAATTTTGCCCCATTTTACTTATTGTGCTACAATACTCTACCTATTAGGACAAAACGAAAAAAGTAGATTACAAAAACTACAGAATCAAGCAATGCGTACGATACTGTCCCGCTCTAGGCTGACCCCAATAAAAGATATGTTATCTCAGTTAAAGTGACTTCCAGTGACAGATTTCATAAGGTATCAAACCCTAATTTTTACATTTAAAATTAAAAACGGCTGTGCGCCTGCGTATCTGATGGATAAAATTGTATTTAACCATGAGATACAGTACAGTACTCGTGACAGACAAAATTATTTTATATGTCTGGTGGCAAAAAGAAGCTCTCAAAACTCTATATTTTTTAAAGGATTACAGGAATTCAATAGCCTCCCACTCTATAAAAAACTTAACATCAATACTAACTTTCAAAATGAAGGTTAAGCATTATTTGTTGGATGAGTAAAACTCTGAAATGGTTTTTTTTTATTATTATTATTATTATTATTGTTATTATTATTAAGTCTAATTTAGTACTGCTTTAATGTATTGTGGATGACATGTTAATTAGCCATATATGACTAAATAAAGATATATATTTTATGAAATATATCTGTTATTTACATTTGGATAAGAAAATTATTCAAATAAAAGTTACTTAAAATGATATAATTTTTTGTATACAAAATTTTCCTAAAATGGTCCGTATTCAAGAAATTTGACAAAATGTAAAACATTCAAATTTTTAAGAAAATTATTCAAATAAAGTTGTTTGTGATATCATTCTATAGTTCTTATCATATACATAATTTTGAAGAAAACTTAAAAACGGATAAAAAGAAACACACCAAATTTTAAATTTAGGTTTAAAGCCATCCTGCGGTAAAATGATTAAATTTTGGGCATACTCGGAAAATATGGAAAGTACTTTATAGAAGGTCATTTTTCTACTTTATGGAATATATCTGTTATTTTTCTTAGAGTAGAAAATTCTTCAAATAAAAGTTGTTTATAATGTTATTCTCTATAATTTTTGTCATATACATAATTTTCTTAAAACAGTGCGTATTCGAGAAATTTGACAAAAAGTGCAAAATTCTAATTTTTAAGAAAATTGTTAGGTAAACTAAAAGTTGTTTGAGATATCGATCACTATAATTTTTGTTTTATACATGATTTCCCTACAATTAACCATAATGGAAAAATTTGAGGAAAAGTGTAAAATTTTATTTTTTCAGTATTTTTGTTGGCAATGAATATATGTATATAAAATCATAGAGTTGAAGGTGATTTCCAGAGAAGTCTCCTTTTTTCCATTTTCAAATGTGGCAGCGGATGCGTCAGCTCTGCCCACATAATATAAAACATAATCTGAATGGTTGCAGTAAATAAGGGCTTAGTTATGAATGATTGGAGATTGGATTAGTCTAGTGATTTTGTCATTGACATGAAAATATTTTCTGACAACACTGCTAGTTTTTTCTAATAAGTTTTCTAAACATTTGCAAACAGCATGTGCTATAAGATAAAATACACCATTGGCAGTACTTGAGTTCCAAAAATGAAAGGTATTGAGGGTGATGACTTATGAAGACCTATTGGAAAAAACCAGTAAGCGGCTTTTTACCAGATTATTGTAGTTCTGAGGATGTAATATATGATTCAAATAAAAGAAAAAAATAAATGAATCGGTGAGTGAAAGAACAATATATATCCAAAATGACCATTTTGAGAAAAACAAAAAAAAACTGATTTAAAGAACTATGGGCTATTCGACCTAATTATGTATTGTGAAGTTATAGAATTTTTGTTAACCGATGATAATAATACGTACATAAATCTAAAAAGAAAAATACGCAAAAAATTATATTTGAAAATAATGACATGCAGTTATACTGCTCTTTCATTCAATATAAAGAAAAAATGCTTTATTTTTTATAGCTTTATTGATTATTATTTAACAAAATCATTTGTGATTTTTATTTAGAATCTTCATTTTTGACTTTCCAAGAAATAATATAGTAGTAAATCTCTAGGGTTTCATCGCTAAGGTAGGGTAAAAGTTTCTTTAAATCGGCTTCTTTAAATTAATAGGGACAATTTCTGGGTATGCCTTTCCTAAGGGTAATTGCGGATTGGCATTAAGTTTGATCAGTCTAAAAGTGTGCGAGAAAAAAACCACCTATGAAGGCACTTGTAGTAACATACCCAGGAGTTTCACTAGTGTGTGTAAACTGGCTGTACTGTGAAATGGCAAAATAAGCTTTTTGTTCATCAGCTGATGTGTGCGTTTTTTTATAAAATTGCGGCCACCTGTTTTTGTAATCTGTCAAATTTGTCTACGAAATGACAAAGCGACTGAGTGAAAAAACAGTTTTTCACTCAGCCAAAAATTGAACAAGCCCCTGTCGCCCATACTATGTTAGTCGGTGTATTATTCTTTCGCTATGTGACAGGCCTATGCATTTTAAACAATTTGCCTATCTCAGTTAAAATTACCATTTTTGGCACTTGTACCTACTGTTCTTTCATTCACCGATTCAAATATATTCTTTTTTTATACAATTTTATAAACTGAGAGCACTAACTTGTTAAATAACAATAATTATAGAGCTTGTAATTACTTCCTACTTAAAATATAGTGACTAATGACTTTGCAACTTTATATAATGAGGCTGGTGGCAATATTATCCAATATCCAAAACATATTGCTTAACTACATACCTGACAACTTCGGGCTTTGAGGTCTCAGTAGAAACATCTGTATTATTTGAATTATTCTCCTGGGAATCTAATATTTCATTTATTAACTCTAATGACACTGGATTTGGTTTTATATCAATTTGTTCTTGCTTGGGTCTTACTAAAAACTGATAATCTACAATTTTTCCTTCCAATTCTTGGCCATCAAAATTATCATCATCAAGAATCTCTTCTTTAATATTATTTTTCAAAAAAGTTGGCATTTTCTTTTTATTATTTCAAATCGAAATTATTGTAGTGTCCGTCGAGGAATCCAGATGTGCGAATTTCGCAAAAATATTTTAAACATTCAAAAGTTAACTATTTATATAGTAAATTTTCGTAAAAAAAATATGGAAAAACCAGTATTTTTTAAGAAAAATCAAATTAAAAATTGAATTTTACAGGTTATGAATGTATATAGCCACAAAACACAGGCACGGCACACAGGCAGTGTTGCCGCACCGACATCTGACATTGTCGCTATTTTTGTTCGCCTAAAGTCGCTATTCTGTCGCTACATCATAATAGATGAAATATGCAATCAAACATACACTAACGTGTATGTTGTATTGCATAAAAATATATATTTTTTAAAGATTTAAGGGCCGATTTGCTCGTAATGTTAAATTGCTGAACGAAGATTAAAATGACATTGTTAATGTAAAAATGTCATTTTAGTTTAGTAATTTAAACTAGCTTAACACAACAATAAATAAAAAAAAATATTCAGCCAGGGTCTGATTGGTCTGAATCTGATTTGTTAACGATTTAGTAGTTTTGCATAAACTTGTATGAGTTATTCTTCATTTTGTTTAAATATGTGTATAATTTTAAAATGTAATTTTTTTATAAATGCCCAATTGTAGACAACTGATTTCTTCGATAGATGGCGATCAGCAGGTCGTTCCAATCACATATATCGTGGCGTCGATTGAAATCATCTAAATAACTAATAGCGTTTTGTTATTTTATTATAGTGATACTGAATGCATTAAGGATCAAAAAGTCGCTGTTTTTGGCTAATTTAGACAAAATCGCCGCTACTCTCATAAACCACTCAAATGTCGCTATTTTCGCGATAAGTCGCTACGAACGGCAACACTGCACACAGGTGTTGCTGTCTGGTCGTGGCCCATAAAAAATAAAAAGGTGTTGCCAGGCCAGGTCAAGACGATTGTCAAGACACAGTAACCACAGTGTTGTCAGTGTTGTTCCTAGGGATTTTTGAATTGTACAACTTTCAGTGTCAAAATTGTACACTTTTACTTTCGATTGTACAACCACTAATTATTCTTCTTCTTTTTTATTGACAGCTATGGCCTACTACTTTCCCATGCTTAAAATTCTTCTTTTTTTCAGTTTAAAATATATTTTTGATGTAAAACGGTGTACTGATTGGTCGCGAATGGCGCCAAATTTAAACTTTTATTTTTTTATTAATTTTAATGCATGCTATTTAACAAATCGTAGACTTTTTGAGCGAAGAAAACCTTTTATATACCCGATTTTACATAAATATTTAGCAATTTCAAATTGTACAACATTTATGTCTTTTTTCAAAAGTGCGTACAACAGTACAACCGCATAACTGATTGTACAACTTTTTGTACAATTGTACAACCAGGAACAACACTGAGTGTTGTTCCTAGGGATTTTTGAATTGTACAACTTTCAGTGTCAAAATTGTACACTTTTACTTTCGATTGTACAACCACTAATTAATCTTCTTCTTTTTTATTGACAGACTATGCCTACTACTTTCCCATGCTTAAAATTCTTCTTTTTTCCAGTTTAAAATATATTTTTGATGTAAAACGGTGTACTGATTAGTCGCGAATGGCGCCAAATTTAAACTTTTATTATATTTATTAATTTTAATGCATGCTATTTAACAAATCGTAGACTTTTTGAGCGAAGAAAACCTTTTATATGCCCGATTTTACATAAATATTTAGCAATTTCAAATTGTACAACATTTCTGTCTTTTTTCAAAAGTGCGTACAACAGTACAACCACATAACTGATTGTACAACTTTTTGTACAATTGTACAACCAGGAACAACACTGAGTAACCAGCTTCCTCCATGGTAACCCATAGATAAATTAATATTAAAAGATAAACCGTTTAAATGCACGGCACTGGTAACAAGTGGTAGTTCCCAGCCATACTACTTGGAGCCACCGTCGCACGCTACACATTTGGCTGATTAACTTAACAGTTAGAGCAACATAAAAGAAGAAAATTAAAAAGAAGAATGTCAAGCCTAAACGCGGCTCATTCAAATGTCGTTTACAGGGGGGCTTATAACATATGCGCGTTATATCAACAGGTTAGTGCGCAACACATCCGCGCATATCAGTCCGTTTTACAATAATAAAATGATATTTAAATTTAAAGTACACTGAATAATTGAATAATTCAAATATATTTCGCTTAATAACAAAAGTAATACACGGTAAGTATTATTTTAAAATTATATATTTATATAAATACTACAATTATTTGAAAAACATGAATTAATCAATTATTTGTACAATGTAAATCTGACTTTGGGATTGTCACCTGTTCGAACCGATACAATAACAAAACTGAACAAAACAATATGGTTATGGTTGCTGAATAAAACGTGGTAAGTACTTTTACTTTTATTTAATTTTAGTTAAACATGTTAAATTTAAAATTAAGCAAAGATATTTTGATGTTTAGCAGGTCCTGTTCGTAATAAATTCATAATATCTAATTGTAATAGCGTTGTTTGTATAAAGGTAAATAGTACAATTTACTGTCCAATTTATGCTGTACATTTTAAGAACACATTTTTTTTTATTTCCTTCCGATATTAAGCAAGGAACTAAATGATGCCGCATAAACTTCATCATTCCACTTGCGAAAAACCATTTATAGGTTACAAGACTGTAAATTGGCTTTACCTTTGGTACCCTTGAAAGCTAAATTAACAGTAAAGAGTAATACTAAAGTAATATTGTTATCATACCGTCAAACAAATTACCAGTGAAAAGAAAGTTACATTCGATTAAAATTTCATCCAATGAAATATAATTATTACCTAAAAAACAATAATTAACTCTTGGATTTTTAAATCAATCCAGTGAATGGTTAGCTCCAAGGGAGAAAAAACTCTATTTTATAATTAGAAAACAGCAAAGTAAAATTTGCGAATCAAAGAAGGACCTCAAAGCTTGATCCCGCAGACATCTGTTTTTTTTAAAGTACTACATCTAATTAAAAGATGAAGGGACTACCATTATTAATTATAAAATATTATAATGAAAGTATAAAACTGTGACAATGTCTAAAAGAAAAAAGAGATTCAAAATGATATGAAGTTAAAATACTACTTTGAATTTTTTCTGTTTCAGATTATATGGATGGTTCTCCTTAATGTGTTTTGTTACCTACCCAAGTTTACAGAAAGTTTTAGTTGTTTTATTAAAATATTGTTTATTTAGAAAATTTATTATAAATTAGTTTTAATGATATAATAGATAATACAATTATTTTATATTACATTATTTTACCCTTCCTAAAATTATGGGTCATAAAATTTTACATTTTGATTGGCATTTTGTTACATCTTGCACCTTGTCTGTGTTTTAAAAAATGCCAATAAAAATGCAAAATTTTAGTTATACTAATTAAAGTAGAGCTACAAACAAAATCCCGCTAATTTTTAAATAAAATAAAATATGCAGGTATCTATATTACCGACCGAGAAATAGTTGGACAAATCCCTTACCGGTGGCGCTGCAAGCAAACCTGTTGCCATATTTCTTCAAAGAAACGGCAACTCTTAATTATCCTTCCTCCATGGTCGTTTATTATTTATTTACATTTTTTGGCATTCATTACTTTAAAAAAACTAATATTTACATTAAAATACTGTATTTAACATAAATATTAGTTTTTTAAGTAATAAAACTCCAAAAAATATAAATGAAAATATTTGAAACAATAGGTATATACGTATAGTTTAATCATTTAATAAAAATAAGGTGCATTTAAACATTTATTACATACAGAACATGTACAAATAACAACTGTAAGTGGAATTAATAGTATTCTCCTCTCGTTCTTGGAAAACTGGACCAAATTTTGATGCAGGTGTCAGGGGTTTCCTATAAAAACAAAAAAGTGTACATACTTAAATCTTATTAAACAATTTTTCTTATCAAAATGTTGCCCTTTCTTATAAAAAAAAATATTTTTAATTTGTCTAAAATTAGTTTATAGAAAAAACTTTCAGTTTATTTCTCATAGTGCAATGGTCGATTTGAATTATATTTTAACTAATCTGTTCTAGTTGATCTAACAAATTTGAGTTTGAAAATTACTTTTCATTTTTAACAGAGGGTTGTTCAAATTGTTTATCACTAATACTAAGTTTACATTTGCAAATAATTTCTTGTTTTTCGTTGCAGATTAGCAAATCTATCTTATGCTACTGTGTATGTGCTTCAGCCTCAACATTTTCTAAAAATCTGACTGGGTTGAGTATTAAGTATAGTTGAACTGGATGTAGGTACTATTAGCTAATAAAATTGGTACAGAATTTGCAATTAGTCGTTTATGTTTTGAAGCAATTTTACTAAAAGAATCTGGCCAAAAATGATCTTCAAAAAGATAGCGAATTTTATTATCTAAAGATAAAGTAAATTCTTAAAACAGTTTTCACGAATTTTAATATCGGAAGGATAATGAAAAAAGGTTTTATTTGAATAACCAGCCTGCTGAATATTAGAATAATACTTATTTAAATTAAGGGGCTGAAAAAGATTACTTAATTTTACCAGGGCCAGCCATGTTTTGTTACAAATAGGTATATTAAAAAAGAATTGAAAATCGATCCAAAATGAAATTATACTTCGTTAAGGCTATAAGAAAACAATGATAAACAAAGCCCTTAAACAAATCTAACACCTTATTAAATTATATTGTTAATACTTACTAATTTCATCAAATCAGCACTTATCAATCTTCTTAACCTAATAATAACTTACCTATCGAAGGATAATTATATCCACAACATCATAATAACTTTTATTTTATGACGGTTTTTGTGCATTTTTCGACTATTTCGCCTTCCGCCATTCCGTTCTTTATTTTTAACGAGGTTATCAACACAGTTGCCAAACCTCTCTTTCAAATATCTCAGCAATAGTATGGCCATTGTATGGATGATATCGAGCACGACAAAAACAAAATAAGGTGCAGCTTATGCGTTTGAATTAACTCTAATCTCATGAAACTTTATGGAAACTGACAACATCGCTGTCAGCTTATTTGCGACGGTGGCTCCAAGTAGTATGGCTGGGAACTACCACTTGTTACCAGTGCCGTGCATTTAAACGGTTTATCTTTTAATATTAATTTATCTATGTGGTAACCAGTAAACTGTGTCTGCTATGGTCAAGATCGGTAGATTCTTCGAGCATTGCTCGAAGGGTGGATTTAAAAATAAAACTGTAGATATATGTAATGTTTCAAAATTGCTGTTTTTGCGATTATAGTTAGGTAATTGCGTAGGTAGTTTGGTAAAATTAAAAACGAAATGAACAATTTATGTATAATTATTTTTGGAAAGGCAAAAAATAAAATAAAATTTATGCTTATATCCTGTCGTACCGGTTTTATCTGACCTGACAAATAAAATATGGTAGAACAGAAGTAAAAGTTGGAAAGGCTCTTGCCAGTTCTCCCACTTTATACACATAAATTGACAGGTTTGCCGCGGATCTTACCGAAGTGGACGCGACACATTGGCGTACAAAATTATTTTATAGATGTTAATAACAATTTCGAGTAAATAGTTTAAGAAATTGTAAATAGCTGTTGAAATTTTGTAAAATTATGATTTGAATATTATAATACATGTTAAATAATTATTTATAGTCCATAAGTTACATGCGATTGTCCGGTTCCGCCGATAACAATTTAAAATTACTTATTCTATGAAACGACACTGGCAGGTAAACATTACTGCGAAATTCTCGAAGACGTCCGACGTGGTTTGACGTTTACCCCCTCTCTACCTACCAAAAGCCTTTCCAACTTTTACTTTCTCTTTTTTTTATATATACATATATACAGAGACCAAACGACAGTTGAAGCAATGGATTTTTCGGGGAGAATCTGCTCCGAAGAAAGCAAAGACGGTCCCATCGGCCGGAAAGATCATGGCCACGATTTTTTGGGACTCCAAGGGAATAATCCTCATCGACTCTTTGCAGAAAGAAAGTACGATCACAGAGCAGTACTATAGTGAATTATTGGACCGATTCGATGCAAAATTGAACGAGACACGGCCTATTTGGTTAAGAAAAAAGTCCTGTTTCACCACGATAATGCACCAGCACATTCATCGAGAATTGTCGCGATCAAATTGCAAGAACTGAAGTACGAATTACTGCCGCACCCACCGTACTCGCCCGACTCGGCTCCATGCGACTTTTTTCTATTCTCCAACATGAAAACGTGGCTCAGGGGAAAAAAAATCAGCTCTAGCCAGGAGGTTATCGTCGAGATTGAAGCGTATTTTGCGGAGTTCGAAAAATCATATTTTTTGGAGGGGTTAAATAAATGGCAGAAACGTTGGGAAAAGTGTACAGCAATAAAAGGAGATTACGTTGAAAAATAGAAATAAATTTTTTTTAAAACTTGCCTCTTCTTTTCTAACACGGGTACTTTTTTAATCCACCCTCGTATATTACGTCGATTTGGTTGCAGAATGTGTGCTCTCTCAACGTTTTTGAGGTATCAATCTGTATCTAATGTTTACCCTAACTTGAATATAGCTCTCTTTATCGCACTTTCCATTTACAAATTGTTCTTGGGAAAGGAGTTTTTCCTGTTTAAAACGCGAGGTCTTTATTGTCTGAAGAAAAAATGAATTCTTTAGCTTCTTTCTAAATAGAAGCAGAGATAATGAACACTATAAACTACAATAATATTAGAGATGATTTTGCTATTAAAAAGTCCCCTAAAAAATTGTAATTCTTGTTTCTTTTTTACGCTCTTTCTTAATGACTAATTCATTCGTTTATTTAACTTTAGTGCCTCACTTACTATAAATGGAAAATTATTATTTTAGAAAGGTACATGGGGCGGTGAAAATATAGTGGCCTACACTTAATAAAAAATATAAATCCAGCACTGCCAACACGATTATTTGAAATAACAAATTTCAATACTATAAGGACTTTTAGAAATAATAACTTTATTTTTCAACGTTTTACAATTATATATTTTGACATGACGTCGTGGAGATTTTTAAAATGTGATGCGGTCCGGCAAAATGTGAATCAGAAGTTTCCCGGTCCTTTGTTAAAGATTTTATAATTAAAAGCTATTCCTTATTAAGATGCGTTTTAACATGGTGCCTCAAAGTGTGAGGTCTCTTTGTTTCAAACGAGCACATGTTGCATTTGTGCATTTTTATGTGCTTATTGTGTTTCACCATATGTTGTATAAGGTTTGGTTTAATGAAAGTTGAATAATCACAATTTGCGCAATACATTTTTTCTTTATACTTTGAATGTCGATGAACGTGGTGAATAAAAGCCAATCTTTTAAAGTATTTTTTTCCACAAGTATAGCAAATGTATGTTTTAACTTCGACATCCACTTCATGAATACGCAATAAATGAATATTTAAATTGGGTAGACCAGTGAATATTTCACCACAAATGTCGCATACAAGTTGCTTGTAAACCCTACGTTTCTTGAAGTGTACATGATCCTGAAAAAATAAATAAAGCAACCATTAATGTATTTTGAATCATTATGGTGGGTGCGAAGTGATGGTTTGTGCAATATTGTCAACTTGTGCATTAAGGAAAAAAAAAGAATTAATGTAGGCTGTCATTTCATTTAACGAATATGCAAATTTTTGTTATTTTAAGAAACAAATTAACAAATAAAATAAGTCATTTAAGTTGTTATGCTCACAGAAATTGATGCCGAACACCACGAAAAAAAAAAAAAGAAAAAAAAAATTCAATACATTATTCTTGATGTTTTCATACATTTTTCACCTATTTACATCTCTCGGAAATATAAATAAATTGACACTCCAAATGTTTATACTTTTACTTTTTATGTTAACCCGTGTAGCTAATCCGTAATGGATATGTTATGGTAAAGGTACCATTTGGGTAGGCGCGTCAAGAGGCAAGCGACCACTGATGCGACCCCAAGGTCGAGTAGGACGACAGATGCATAAATGTTACGCTTGGTGCATTTCCCAAGCTTGAGAAGTGTCGCGCGACAGTTACAGGATAATCATTTGAGGAAACGATCAGCGTTGCCAGACCTACTGTTTTCACGTAGATCCACTGTTTTTGTCTCTAGCAAATTTTGTTCTTAATTTATTAAGTTTGCCTCATTCTTCAGCAAATGGTTAAAGAATATTTTCTTTAGTAAATTTTCTGCAGTAAAAGCAGCGTAATAAGCATCCACTACTCTAGGTTGGCTCCATAAAAAAAAAACATCAAGATAATCATTGTTTTTATTTCAAATGAAACAAAGAATTAATAGGGCATCATAAAAAGAACATGCACACTACGATTTTGAATTATCTGATTTAGACTGATCTAAAAGAAGTAAGTACCTATTATTACTTTCCTATCTGTATACAGATATAAGGAAAGTATAGGAATCATGATTTTTTTCGACCTCGAGTTTTCGACGGATTTTTACGTTTTGAGGTCCCCTGAATCCGTTTTGACTATTTTCGCGATGATGTCTGTCTGTCTGTGTGTGTGTGTGTGTGTGTGTGTGTGTGTGTGTGTGTGTGTGTGTGTGTGTGTGTGTGTGTGTGTGTGTGTGTGTGTGTGTGTGTGTGTGTGTGTGTGTGTGTGTGTGTGTGTGTGTGTGTGTGTGTGTGTGTGTGTGTGTGTGTGTGTGTGTGTGTGTGTGTGTGTGTGTGTGTGTGTGTGTGTGTGTGTGTGTGTGTGTGTGTGTGTGTGTGTGTGTGTGTGTGTGTGTGTGTGTGTGTGTGTGTGTGTGTGTGTGTGTGTGTGTGTGTGTGTGTGTGTGTGTGTGTGTGTGTGTGTGTGTGTGTGTGTGTGTGTGTGTGTGTGTGTGTGTGTGTGTGTGTGTGTGTGTGTGTGTGTGTGTGTGTGTGTGTGTGTGTGTGTGTGTGTGTGTGTGTGTGTGTGTGTGTGTGTGTGTGTGTGTGTGTGTGTGTGTGTGTGTGTGTGTGTGTGTGTGTGTGTGTGTGTGTGTGTGTGTGTGTGTGTGTGTGTGTGCGTGTGTGTGTGTGTGTGTGTGTGTGTGTGTGTGTGTGTGTGTGTGTGTGTGTGTGTGTGTGTCTGTATAACGCATAACTCATGAACCGATACACAGAAAAACACCAAATTTTAAACTTAAGCTTTGTTTCAGCGTCTAATGAGCTGATTAGATTTTGGGCAGAGTCGGAACATTTGGGGGGGTACTTTATAGGTGGTCATTTTTATATTTTATGGAATATATCTGTTATTTACGTTTGGAGAAGAAAATTCTTTAAATAAAAGTTACTTCTAATATTATTATCTATAATTTTTGTTCTATAAAAAATTTTCCTAAAATGGTCCGTATTCGAGAAATTTGACAAAATGTAAAAAAAATATTTTTTTTAAAAAATTGTTCAAATAAAAGTTGTTTGTAATATAATTCTATATAATTTTTATTCTTTACATAATTTCTCTAAAATGGACCGTATTCGAGATATTTGAGAAAATGTGTAAATTTCAAATTTTGAAAAAAACTCAAAAACGGATAAAGAAAAAAACATTAAATTTTAAACTTAAGGTTTATTTCGGCCTGACGTGAAATGATTAGATTTTGGACAAAGTCAGAACATCTGGGGGGGTACTTTATGGGAGGCCGTTTTTATATTTTATGGAATATATCTGTTATTTATGTTTGGAGAGGAAAATTGTTCAAATAAAAGTTACTTCTAATATTATTATCTGTAATTTTTGTTTTATGTAAAAATTTCCTGAAATGGTCCGTATTCGAGAAATTTGACAAAATGTGCAAAATTCTGATTTTTATTATGAAAGTTTTTGAAATAAAAGTTGTTTGCGATATCGATCTCTATAATTTTTGTTTATACATGATTTTTCTAAAATGGACCGTAATGAAAAAATTGTAGGAAATTAAAATTTTTCAGTATTTTCATTTTCCATGAATATCTATAGAAAAATGTTTCGAGGTAGATGTATGTGGACAATGTATATATTTAGTTTATCCTCTAAACATTTATATAACTAGATAGGAAAGTCATGTGTTGGACACATCAGATTTTTTTTCATTGTTTTTTTTTGTTTTCGTACGTTAAGTATATATTAAAAATGTTATTTGTGTTTATTCTTTGTTTACCTTCTAATTTTGGTCGAAAAAAGTTTATTTTTCGTTTCTTATATACTTGTTTTTTTATTTACTACACTGCAAATTTTAATTATTTCCCCCTGTATTAAAATCTACTGTTCAGATCTACGGTTTTTTTTTACCCATACTCATTTAAAATCTAGCAACGCTGCCTAGATCGAAAGAAATTTCCGACCGAATCACCCCAAAAAAAGCGATGCCGAGGACAGTGACCTCGAGTGCGATACGCAGCAAAGCTTTGCAGCGAGAAGTGTTTTCAGGACGACACTTCTCGGTCGTGTCGCGCCATGCGAAATGTGTTTCATATAATTGTATGTATTTTAGATGGGAAGCGACACTTCTCGGTCGTGTCGGCGGTCGTATGTCGCGTCGGCGGTCGTCTGTCGCGCCTACCGAAATGGTACCTTAAATTCAAGTTATTAACTTTTTTACCGTTAGTTATTTGTTTTTTGGTCAATTTTTTTAAAGAAACTGCCATCTGACCTGGTGGGCCTAGGGTGGGCCTGTTATTGTGAAATGGAATCTTTAAAAAAGTAAAACAAAAAATGTTGACTCTAATAGGCAGAAATGTAAAATTTTTTAAAACTAATTACACATTTTTAGTATACATAATTAAACAAATAAAAACTATGAATACTTCGACAATGGCTGGGAAAGCAATATTATCTCTACAGAAAAATTAATCATTAGAAAAAATCGTTGGTGATTAACTTTTTTAAAACTCTATGGAAGCGCAGTTGAAAAGGTGGTTGAAGTGTCTTGGACGTTTGTTACAAAGGAACAAAGTGGACTGATTGAGAGGTTAGGTGTATCAATATTTCTTAACTGTGTAAAAAATTAATGAAAACAAATAATAATTATAACTTTATTCTAATTAATTATGCCAACCAACTATTATTACTTGCAAAAACAGTTTAATTAACATGAAAGTTAATCACGAGTATAATTTATAAAATAAATTATTTAATATTTTGAGGATCAACATGACATTTTTAATCATATTGCTATGTATACCGAAGTAGTATATTTAATATTAAAAAATACGTGTGGCACTCGGGGACTACCGCGGTAAAGCTATTGCATAGCATTTTTTATCAACTTATGCAATTATAATTATTTATTTTATTTATGCAGTATTTTTTTCTTTGATATTAATTCAAGTTACACTTTTTAAGCGTGGTGACCGATAAGAAAACAATTTTTTTCTTTTATTGAATAAATGAGAAGTTAATATTGTTTAAAATATTTTTATTATCTTACAATACATGTAGGTGTCGTTTTAGTCGTTTATTAAAAAATTAATATACTGTAGCGATCACACCGACATACATGCTTCTATCGGTGTGTCACGACACATATAAAATTGGGCCGAAATTTGACCCGTGACTAATCATGGACTGTATCAAAAAGAAAGTTTGAAATAGCTTTGTGATCCATAAGGTCTGGGAGATGTATATAACTGGATTAAAAGACTACCTCTTAATGAACACTTTTATTTTAAAAGACGAATAGAATGAGGCTCTCTTTTTACATTATTTACAACATTATTCAATGAAATTTATTACGTTAAGTTACGTTGCTTAATAATTTATTTATGTTATATAATGGCGGGCACAGCGTCCCTTTCCATCACGCAAACGCGTGTGGTGTGCTTGAACGGTACCTGAAGTGAAGCTTTCTTTCGAAGAAAGAGATTAATCGTTAAGCGAGCTTGAGACTGACGTAATGATTTTTTAACCAATGAGGAATGAATGACGCTTATGACATTAACTAATGAGGAGTGGAGGACGTTTGTGACCTGTTTATTTGTCGGAGAACTTATTACTTATCGGCCGCCAAGATAGTGCAGATTACAGGGACGTTACTAGGAGTAGCATGGAAATCAAAAATGAATGCTGAATGTGTATTGGAAGCAATGCTGAGTGTAACGATGAATGTAATTTGTTGAATGCAGAACATTTCTGTGTAGTAAAAGAGTTTTGACTTTTTTTTGCCAAGCAGCAAATGATAAAATTATAGTTTTAAGAAAAGTTATGGTACTGTGACGGCCACCCCCCAGGCCCCCTTTTCTTTTGATTTTATTCTTTGTTTTTTTACTTTACTCTCTTTGAAATGTTATTATTTACCTCACAAGTTTTACTTTAAATTCTATACTTACTGTAATTTGGCCTTTTTCCTCTAGTAGTAGAAGTGATCGTCTAGTTAATTAATTGATATTTTATGTACCCACGTTGTGATAATGTTAATTAAGGTAAACCAGAAATTCGATGCAAAGTTTGGTGCAAATTGATAAATAAAACATATAGAGCATTCAATATAAAAACCGATACACGTCATCAATCAGTTGTGAAGTCATAGCCTTGCAGT